ACCCCCGCTCCCCCCCCCCCCCCCCCGCGGGGGGGGGGGGGGGGAGTGAGTGAGCGGCTGCGTGATATTTGGCTGCCTGCCAGGTTAAACCATGACACACAGAAAGCTTTTGATTTGGTAAATTTTATTTATTATGAGAAAGACCTTGTACCCAGTAAATTTAGAGACAGGAGTTTCATTCCTTCTATTAATAAAACTGCAACAACTAGTTAGTCAGCTCTTTGACTATAATCTACCCTAAAATAATGTTTGGGGCTGGAAATATGACCACAATGACACCTTCATACTGTTTTCAGTGACAAACACACCATAGTATAACAAAGCTCTTAATTTTGTTTCCATTTAAAAAAATGCACAATTACTGGTTATGCAAACCTCCTTATTTGTGTTTTGGACATATGAAAGATGTTTTTCTCATTAGTGGTACCCAAGCAGGACACCCATTAAAGAGATATTTAGTGAATTGTTTAATTTGAAGCACTTTTCACACTAGTGGGATGATTGAATTTCTGGAGCTTTTATAGACTTACTTAATTCATGAAGAATTTGGTTGTTCCCATGTTTCGGGTGGGGTTTAATGACTATGAATAGATGGCAGGTGCAAGTATCTTCCTGATTCTAGTACTGTCAAAATAAATCCAGAGTTTTTCCAGCAATAAATTTTTTTTCTGTATTCATCCCTAAGTTTTAACATGTTATTTAGGTCTCTTAGATTTTTAACTCCTTTTTGTCTTCTTTTTTCTAAATTCTTCATGGTTTCATTCCTGACTGCACTCTGTGACAAGACTTTTCTTTCCTTCCTGTTGATTTCCAATTTTATCTCCACAGTTTCATTTCAAATATATTTCTTTGAGCACACAGCATACACCTTGGAGCATCTCCTGTTCTCTTATGACACCAGAATCCCAACAAAGACCAGAAATCCTCTAGAGAAATTGGTATCAACATGTTCCCTAAACCCTTCATCATTTCTTGGCTGCCCAAGACTACTTTTGTCTGGGCGGGGCAGTTTATTGCTTTCTAGTGATCTTCAAGGACATCACTCAAAAACCTCTAGTGATTACCCTTTCTCATAAAGTCAGATTTAATGCAAAGTATCCATATATGGTTAATTAGCATGATGGTTACTATATCTCTGAATCTTTCTCAGTTTTGGTGAAAAGCATTCTGTTTTGTTCCCACTCCTTGTGAAGATACCAACTGCATGGTTTGGTTCATTTCAGTGCTGAGGGAGGTGTCAATTTATTCACACTAAACAAATGTTATTTACTGAATTGCAGTCTCTCCCTAGCAGTGGCCTTGCAGATTTTTAGGTGATTAGTTATCAACTGAACATAAGGTGTCTGCGATACTCTCAGAGAAATGAACTAATTTTCTATCTGTTTCTTGGTGCAACAGTGTTTTCTGGTTTCTGTCAAAAGAAGCCAACCATCTGGGCAAACAGAACCATCCACTCAAGTAATCATTCCATCTCCAGCACCTATGTATCCGTCTGAGGAAAATATGCGATCTTGCTAGCCTAGTACCTGAGCTCTTCATTGTCTCTAATCCATCTAGTACCACGACAGATCTGAGACACCTGTTGGGAAGAATTCAGGCAAAGAAGATGGTACTGGGTTGCTGGGCAGGTTATTCTGCTGACCACCCAGGGGTTCTGCTTCTGCCCTCATTGCTGCCCAAAGCAGCGTCTTGGCCACAATGTGCTAGGTACACACTCATCTTTCATTTGCAAAGTCCCAGATTCTGCAGTTTAGATAGAACCAGAGAGATTCTTCCTTTCATGTAATGCCACATAGAAGAAATACATGCATGGGTTAGTGCGGGTGCTGGAAACATCTCTCCAACTTAGTGGAGCAATGCCTTCAGATTAATATACTTTGGTATCGCTCCATAGCATTTTATTATGATTAAGTGACTTGCTCAAGGAAATCTGTGGCAGAACAAGGATTTCCCGGTTCCTAGCTTAGACACTTACTGGGCCTCTTATTTCATTGAAAGGTGAACCAGTAAGTCTACTGGTCTATCCTCCTATATATGTCTGGAGGAATATTAAAAGAAATTTGGTATATTTCAAATTTGTCAGCCTTGCAGACACACCCAGCAATGGAAACCATAGTTGAATTCTAAAGTTATTCAGAAAAAGAGGGATGGCTAGCCATTGGAATAAAATTGAGAGAGCAGCACTTCAGCATGTCTTCACTCTTCAGAAATGTAGCCCCTCTTAAGCTGCACTCCAGCTTTTACAGTTAATTCTGTTCACCAATTCTTTGGCACATGATACATAAAAGCATATGGTATGGTCTTACACTAAATAATACCTTAAAATCAAGTTAAGAAAGAATGCTGGTTATTCTTTGTGAATGCCTTTTTTGAGGTAGCAGCATTATTTATCTAAGAGAAAAACATGGTTACCATGGCTTTATTGGAGTGGCCTCCTCCTTGGAACTCAATGGTTCCAAAAGCGTCCGTCGGGCTGAGCTGCGTGTGCTTGCTGATGGACCACTTCTCAGACTGGATGTCATTGCGAGTAAGCCTGCTTTCATTTTTCTCATTCTGAATAACGGAGATGCTTGGAGTCAGTCCAACATGTTGACCTATTAGACGCCCACAGCAACACCTATGACATTGAACAAACAGAAAACTTGAGTCACGTGCATGTATAAACCGAACAGGGAAACAAACTATCTTAAATAACCTACAAATCTTCAAAAAAAAATCCCTTTTCAACTCTGCTGACCATTTTCCTGCTATCTGAAGCCTCTACTTGTGGGAGCAACATAGTACAGTATTACCTTTTCTTTCTATGATCTTGTTTACTTTGGACTCTCCTATATTTCAATAAAATTATGCTTTGTTCTAAATATGCACAAGATGAAGTTAAAGAACATTTTCTACTGTCTTCAGATGACATCAGGCCAAATAATCAGCTTTTGCATGGACTAGCACATATTGTAAATTGGCAGTTCACTGCAAGTATTTTCTTTTGAAAGTATTGTGTGTCATGCATCCAATTTAGGTAAATATTCAAGGCACTGAATCTTGAACTAGAAAGATAAGGAAATTGAACACAGATGCCGATCCACCTTTGATTTATCTTTTTTTTGAATGAAATTAAGTTTTGAAATGTAAACAAATAGTGCCCATAGGAATCCATCACTCCAGATGTAATTCTACCACCTTGTGATCAAACAAGTCTTTTCAAACTATTTATATCCATATACAGATGTATGCAACATATATATAGACATCTTCTTGTAATTGACCTTCTTTTTTCGTATGAGGAGCATGCAATTACCTATGGGGGTCTTTGGTGCTGGGTATGATATGAACACATTCTCTCTTGTAAAATGCTCTTTCTATCCATGATTTCTGTGCCTAAAAAAGAAAAAGGAAATGCCGTGAGCTCTGTTTACTTATTAAACACAACTTATAGTACAACTGAAGAGAAATGTCAAACGTAAAAGAAAACGTCACTGACTTTACAGATACGCAGTGCACATTTTGCACAGAACAAACATTTTCCATTAGAACATGAACCTTCTAGAGTTAAGCAACCAGCACAAGCTCTTAAGATTGTTTTCATATTCACTAGCCAGATGACTTTGATACTGTCATCTATATTCTCATACGGGAGTCACTGGAGAAGAATTCATTCACACTGTAAAGATTTCTGCATGGTAGAGAAAAACCACACCTATTCATTAAAAATACTTCTAAAAAAATCTATTTCCATTTTAGTGATACAACTAAGTCAGCTCTAATTTAAAAAAAAAAATCTCATAGACTAGAAAATAAATATCTCACAATAAAACTTTAACACCATGATTTCAGTGCACAAGTACTGAGAGTGCTGTTTAAGATGGAGCCAGAAAATACAGTTTCGTATGCGGACAACTTAATGAAAAAAAAAAAAGAGGAAGATCTGTTTCTGAAACGAGACACAAAAAACTTTGATACATGAAGAGTCAGATGACCATCTGATGTAACCTCTAAAACTGATTGAGTTCAATGAAGCTACGCCTGTTCATAACACTCAAGATCTTCCCCCACATATCTGCAGGACAGCAAGTAATTTCCCTCAGTGTAGTCTTAATTTTCAGATACACAAGAGATCTTTTTAAAAATAAAGTTAGATGGGTGGGAAAGAAAACAAAACAAAACAACAAACAAGAGACTTTCAGAGTTCTGAAATATTTTTAATTATCTAGGCAGTCCTCACTCCATATAATATGAATTCTGGCAAGCTTTTTAAAAGATTCCCTTAGATAGAATTGAATTATTTCATTTAATAAGGAGATGAGTTGAAACTTTCTTTTAAAAATTCATTTCAAACAGATACATTTTAGAAAATGTATTTAAATAATAAAATTACCTATTTAATTGCACAGCATAAACAGAACTATAAATTATGAACTATGACAAAGTTATCTGAGAGTTAAGTAAAGTGAAATGAGCTTTAGATAATTTAAAGGAAATCTGAGCATCTTGCCTCTATAAAAAGAGGAAATATGAAATTGCCTTTACAACATTACCTACCTAACTAATGTTACCTTTTACTACGTAAGGTTAGATAGTAGCCTATTTAAGTATTACCTTTACTTACTAATGATACCTTACTAACTATCTAATGTTACTTTTTGTCAACTCAGTCTGCATCCTGTTTTTCATGTTTAAACCCAGAAACCTGTGTTTCTGGGACTTTTAAAAATCATTGTGAACTGTGGAAACATCTTGGGGTCAATGAATGTCACTAGTCTAAACTATAAAGTACCGCAATAAGAATGTCTAGCTACATTGATTATGTTTCACTCAGTATATTAAAAGTTATTTTTTTGCCTTTTTCACAGAAGATAATCCCTTATTGGAACTAGTGGTCACTCATGTCACGTAACAATATTTAATCTTTTCTCTATGTGTATTTTTATTTGAAAAATCTGTTAGACTTCATATTTTGTAGGAAAGGCAGACACCCTACCATGACTTTTACACTCAGGAACAAGTGAAGTCTATTAAAATATTAAATAGAACTGTATTTGATTGTTCTTCCTTACTGTAGCAAACAGAAAGTTAATATATTACAGAATGTGGGGCAAGGTTTGTTTCATGTTAAGCACAGTTAAATAGAAATTTTGAAAAATCTAAAAAAGTTTTACTTTACATAGAAGAGACTATCTTGAAGTTCTAATTTATTATAACTTCTAAATGCTTACAAACCTATGATGCAGGCAATAGTAATCATCATCATCATCATGTGTATTACACAGACAAATCAGCTTAGAAGTCTAGTGCATCACTGAGTAATTTCTCAATTTAGTAGTCTTTTCAGGCAAAGAAAGACTTTTTATAAACTAACTTTCTAGAACTGTCAAGACATCCAGAGTGAACTTTATGAACTTCATTTGACCCTCTTACTGCAGAACTTTTGAAGCTAAACTACGTGGGAAAATCAGGGTTTTTCTTTTTGTTGAGTGTTGTAGAGAAAGAAAGGAAGTTACAATTATTATTCAGGTATTGCAATGCTAACATTTGAAATGACATACTTTACTGTACGGACCACACATTCTTGAAATTTCTCCCCTTCGAGCTCCAAGAGTACAAGCTTTCTGCCTTAAGAAGACACACACTGATAAGAAGCTGCAGATTTATGAAACCCCTTTGTTGTATATATATACAGTAACTTTTCGACAAAAAAGGAATGTTTATAGAACAATGCTAGTTTTATCTTCATGCTTGTTTTTTTTGACACTAATGTCTGCAATATCCTTTATCTTCTCTAGAAAGCATGAAAAGCTTTTATAAGCCAACTTGTCTTCCTGGCATTCAAAATCAGCTCCTACTGCAGAGCTTACATAGCATATGAATATTATTCATGTTGCCAAGACTCTCTAAAAATATCCTTTATTAAATTTCGTAAATTTTGCATACTTTTCTGCAAACAATTTACCTTGGTGAATTTACTTATTACACAGACCTAATATATCTTTGCTAAAGATGGCCACTAATTCAATTTCTGTAAGCCTCAAGATCCAATACAAAAAGGTGCCATAATAGGTACTTCACTGAAAATTTGTTATTTAGATATACAAACCAGCCTTCAAAACCCACAAAACTGACATTTAAAATTTGTTTTCCTACTCTGTTTCTTACTGTCTTTGCAAGTAGAAGAGAAACCCAGCTATGTTAAATACAATAAGAATTTGCATTTGAATTTTCATCATAGTTCTTTGAATGTAATATTGCAAAAATAATAGTCTGATTTAAAAAGTCCTTTATTCACATCAGGAAAAAAGACTTTCCAGCTTTTAGATCTCAAACAATATACTATCCTATCCAACAGAGTCATAATGCCAAAATACACGATTTACTCATTTCATAATTCCTTGTCTTTCCAAACCCAAACGAAACTATCTGGTTTCACTGCCCCATGCCAGTTATCTTTCTGTGGCAGAGATAATTTGCAATGAAATACAAAGTTCAGAGATATAACAAATTATGTTACTTGCCGTAGAGCCTTCTTAACAAAATTAGAATAACTTGAGGAAATAAACACATTCATAACAAAACAGTCTGCATTAAACTTTTGTTTATAATGTGAAATGACAGGGTAGTAAAAAGTTTAGAAAAGTATAGCAAAGTATTTTCAAGAGTAGTAGTGCAAGAAGCTTATTTTCTCTTTCTCATATTTCATAAATACTCCTTCAGTAATAATTCATAAGACAATTTAAAGTCCACAATGAATTCCTAAAATACATGCCAGACTTATACTTGGATTTAGTTTACTCATAACTTAGATCTCTAGGTTAAGTCTCTCTCTTTATTAAGCTAGCTGCAAAATCCCACCAAGAACATTTTTTCTCCCTCTTCTTTACCTGAGCATCAAACTTTGCGCCTAAGCCTGTCCTGGAGCAAACTCTGCTGTCCACATTCCCCCGCTGCTGGTCATCGCTAATAACACATTTGTGACCGCCCCTGAGCAAGGTGCTCAGTCCATCCGCGGCGCAGAAATGTGAGGGCGAGCGAAGCCCTTGCACCCATTAGCTGCTTGGAATGTGCTGCTGTGGGATTAGCCTCGTTAAGGGTTCGGTGGACACTAACCCGCAGCCCCACAACACTGCTTGGTTTGAACATCTAATCTGATGCCAAAAGAAAAACAAATCCCCTGAGAGCTTGGATTTAACTGGCACAAGACTCGTCAGGCTTTTTTTCTTCCTTTTCTTTCCCCCTTAGAGAGCGAGCTTGTGAAAGTGTGATAAGGTGCTCTGAGTTCTTAAGTTCAACCCAGGAAAACAAATCCTTCAAAAGAAACAGTGTACTAAGCTGGAAAGAACCTGAGCACACAAGAGAGACTGTAATCTCCGAAGAATGAAACCTGTGTGTTTATTGGGTAACTGTGGGAAATCTATACACGGCTGAAATACATTGCAATTAATCAACAATGGCATTTTTCCAAAGAAGCTGTCACTGTTTCTCACCACAGTTGCTGTATTGTAGTGAATGACTTTTCAGAAAGTCATAACCATAAACCTTTGACTTTCAGAGACAAGCAACTACATTGTTTCCAGCTTAATTAAAAGTTAGTAACTTAAAACACAACTCAAATGTTTACAAATTTGGGGACTATGTCTTTACTGTACCCTCTTGATATCAACACTGAAAAACAACCTTTTCATATGAAAAACGTAGATTTTTGTAGTATATAGCAATTGTATGTGTTTAATTAGTTACTTCAAGAATTTTGAAAATATAAAATATTTTTACTCTTCCCCGCCCGACAAGTTTGGATGAATTCCTCTCTACTCCTACATATGCACACATACCCTCCTTTCCCTTTCAATAAGGCTGCGTCTAATGCATAGAAAACATTCTGTCCACCCTCGGCACTGATGAATACAAAAGCACTAAACTTTTCTGCATGTACATTAGCTCTGATGGGCCCAGGATGGGCAAGGCTGAGCACATGCATCAACTTCTAAGCTTCTTATACCATCACACATGTTGAGAAGCTTCTGCTAGGCTGGCTAATCCATGAGATTTTTTTTCTCTCTTGGTTCCCTAAGTTTTTTGTGTAAAATACATACGTGCATTTTGTATGTAATGTATATATGAAGTATGTACACATACACACTCTGTATGCATATATATACACACACACTGTTCCAGCAAAGCTACGACCTGTGAGATTTCTCCACCACACAGTTCGGACCAACAGAGACCACGTGCAGTTCTTGTGAGATCTCCTTAGCACACGATCAGACCAAAGATGGTCTGTGGAGCACAGCAAAGGTAGAGAAAGCTGCAGTGTCAAGAGAGCAACTAGTAAACAGCTCAATGAGGTAAAGAATATGACCGGGGAGTCAGACAAGTGAATTTGGTTT